CTTATAAATTATGTATAAGAGATTACAGATAAAGAAGAATGCGATGAAACAATACACAACATTGCACAAAGTACTGAAGGTATTGAACTGTTTACTCTTACAGGTAGTCTTTTGCTCAAATCAGCTTTGAAGGTAMCTGGTGACAGGATTACGAGGAACATGATTGTGTATTGATGGGATTTTCAAAACTGACAAAATTACTCAAGAACATGCATTCCCTTTATTTTGACAATCCCACCTGAACTAAAAGATTCAGGGGAAGATTATGAGAAGATGAGAATAACTATACTGAAAACCCATCARCCTGATACTCTGTTAAATGTAACGAAGTAATGGAGTAATGATGAAACTCTTGGTCTCCATCATGATGGTATTCAACAGGTAGATAATAACTAACCTTAAACCTTCAAAGAGCTTTGACTCTGCAAGACATTAATGTCCTTTGCAAACACTGTGTTGACTTGTCCCTGTTATTCCATGCTTCCATGTACATCTGCTAATTTAATTCTGTAATGTAGTGTCAGCTAAATTGATGCAGACAGATTAGTGTCAGCCATTCCCAAACTCTTTCTGATATCTTTTTTTTGGAAGATGATGCCATATAGGCCTCTGACTTCCTTCAGGTAAAATTCCTCAAGTATGAATACCACCTGGTCCATGTTATTTGTTGACATAACTATTTATTTATTTTAAAAGCTCTTCAGTTTCAAATAAGTGCCTCAAATTCAGCCTTCTTGGAAAAAGATTCTAATGTAGACTCATAAAACTCCTGTGGTGAATTCACACAGCGTTTTCCTTTACCACCTAATCTTTTCTGGACATTCCTTAAAACTACAATTATGTATCAGTCCTATAGATTGTCTTCGGATGTCCTGCTTCTGATGCATTTAAAATAGATGTTGGTCATGTAGCTTAATACACTTTAGGAAATAAAAAAAAAAAAAAAAACACCAAACCAACATTTATTAAGGTCTCATCATGGTCTCATAATACAAATTTAGGCAGAATTAAAATAGCCTATCTTTTCCTTTGAGGTGCTATGCATCTACAATTACATAACAAATTGCAGCCTGTAGCAACCCGTCCTCCCTAAACAATTAAAAGACCTCATTAAAATTTTTTTTTTTCTATATTAAAAAGAATTTAGGTCACTAAATTAAATGACCAGAGGTTGGGAAACCAGAAGGCTGCCCATGAAGCTTTAATTCAAACCTCTTCTGCATGTGAATTGCAACCCTGTACTAAATTATGAGTTTGTCTGCAGAATACCAGGCTCCATTTGGAACATTTGAAATTATGTAGTGGCAAGCATGTGAGACTGGCTAATTATGTTGCCTCTTGTGTTCTCATTCATTTATTCCTTTACTTTCTAGCAYCTCTTTTGTGCTCATCCCTTATCAGCTCTCACTTGGAGATTGGTCTCCTGCTCTGTCTGGAACCTTTACCCTTAGATAACCTTTTGTAGTCAATCAGGTAAATGTTTTTACCACAGCAATTGCTWATTGTTCCTTCAAAGGATATTTGCRATWTTTCTCCAAAGGTGAGAAAARAAGGAAAAAAGAAAAAGGAACAAAAAGAAAACAAGGGGTAAAAGAGAAGGAAAACCTAGTAAATAAAAGTTTCCAGGTTGAAGCAGTGGGGAAATAAGGAAACGAGGTCAGTCTTCATACTATCATAGAGCTTCCTTATTACAAAGGATCAGCTCTCAAATTACAAGCTTTACAAAGAGACAGTTGTACTTGAAAGCAAAAGGAGGCATTAAGTTGCCTGATGCCCTAGAGGAGAAGGATCATGCTGTATTTATAAATAAGGCTGCAGTGGCTCAGTAGATATTCTGGAAAATGGATATTTTTTTAATTTGTGACAAAAACTTTATGTCCGCTTCCATTGGAAGAAGGCCTCATCAGTCAAAGACATGGCTTCCTCCTTACAATAATTACCAAGAACAAACACCTTTGAGAGGTTTATTTTCTATGGAGATGTTTGAGATGTAGTCATGAGCTAATGACTTACACTTTTGGTTGGTGAATTTGGTCTTCACATAGAATTATAATGTTACTGTCAGACTGTTGTTTTAAAAAGTTTTCCTGCAGTACAAAGAACAGTTTGTGTTTGTGAAGCTGTGGTGTTTGTGATAATACTACAGTGTTTTCACTTCATGGGAAATTTTAAACCTGAAAAGACTAAACTAATAACTATTCAATATTCTTTAGCAGTAACTGTTCAATTCTTTTTTTTTCTGGAACATGAACATCCAAAGAAAATTCAAGATAGAAAAAGTAGGCTATTTCCCAAATGAAATGGGGGTCTCTAAAGGCTTAAGGTTCTCAGTGAAATTGAGTTAAAGCATATTTTGTTTGCCTAGCAATCTCAATATCATAAAAGTCATATTTTCAAAAGAAGTTTCTAAAAATGGTAGTCATTCTCCTGTGTGCTTCAGTCTTTAGGGACTTTCTGACCCTTTCCCTATCCATGGTCTTTGCAATCATTGGCAATAGAAACTTGATTTTGTAAATAAAAATCATATTCTCTGCTTCTTATTTGCTTCCAGGAGTTTTAATAATTTTAAAAAATCCTCAAAATTTTGATAATACTGCCTGCTGAGCCATGCTGCAGGTATAATGGATTTACTTTGAAAGGGATAAGAAAGCAGAACAAATTTACTGAAAGTAAGCCATGTTGCAGTCCAGTTAAATTAAACACTCATGATTTCAGGAACATAACTAAGCAAATATTTTTTTCCCATAGGCTTACTATGCAGGCAGGCTGGTATCATGGGAGATTTTTAATGTGTGGCCTTCATAACCTGCCATGCAGAGCTGCTGTGGGGATTAACTAGTTAAGATTTGTAAAGTGCTTTGAAGATTATAAGGCATTAAGTTGCACAAGTGCTAAGCACTATTATTTAATACCYAAGTATTATAACCAAGCTTTACAGGATAACTCATGTTCACCTCACTAGAAAGAACCTTTGTGATTTCTTTATGATTTCAGTACAGTTGTTGCAAGACRTAAAGCAAGCAGAACTGACCACAAAAGAGGGAAATTTCTTTCTTGTTTCACTGTCAGAGACTGAAGTGAGATACAACTGTAATGGTGTTGCAGAAAGATTAGTAAAAAAATAATTATTATTAAATGCAATAGTATAATATACATAAAAATGCAGGGCTTCCTAAGGTGTCATTTTTACTGTGTCCTGTCTTACCCAAGGGGACCCATGGACTATTCTCCAGGAAGTACAACTCCAAACCCCAAACTTATAGATAGACCAAAAAGATCTGTTTTATCATCTGAAAATGCTGTTAAGTGGTAGTAGAGATGGGTAAAATCTGTATACTGGTAACTTGTACTTCATATATCTTTTAGCTTATTTAAGTCAAAATATTAAAAGAATGATGAATGCAGGCTGTTGTCTTTAGCAATCAGGTTGGGAGCACCTTTTTCTGATACAATTGCTTTGTTGAGTTTCATTTTGACATAAACCTTCCTCTCTCTTGTTTTGTAATGTCAGTTTTCAGCAGCAGAAGTCATTGGGATTTTTTTGTGGTAGCAAAGGGACGAGGCATTTGTTAATAAAATAACTATGCAAAACAGAGACAATATGATGTAAWTTCATTGCTAAGTATGCTGGAGACAGAGGAACACAAGTGTTTCAGGACTGCTGGCAGGTACATACTATAGAGTTTAGGGTGGCATATTGTTGGGCCTTGAGCTGCATTCCAGCATCCTGAAGTCACAGAGAACTTATTTGACATGCAGRGAAGGAGAGTGGGGTTTATTTACCTTACAAGGACTAATTATTATTCAATGACAGTGTTTTTTCAGGACAAAGCACTTAGTCCTTGCATTTCTTGCCTCTGCAAAAGTGCTGCAGACATTTCACAAGGACAGACTTTTCAAGTGTATGCATTTCCTCACTGTGGCTAAAAATAAAGATTWCTTTTCTATAGTGTTTTGACATTTTGATCTGAATTGAAGCATATAATAAAAATTCACTTCACTGACTGTCTCCAGTATGACCTGAAATCCAGCTTTAGAGATAAGTAAAGGTAAAAGAGGGAAAACAGAAAGTGGATAGTGTACTTGCACAACAGAAATTCCTGTCCTTTCCTGGGTCAAGGAAGCTACAGGCCCCTAACGTTTCGACTTCTCTTCAGAAATCATAAACTTTGCTTCCTCTATTAAGTTAATAAAAATCATTGTGTGATTGGAATCACATAAAATTAAATTATTTGTCCAAAAACACAAAGTCCATGAATAAATCAGAGTTCAACTTAGCTTTCTAGACAGTGACCTCTGTCCCAGACTGCTTTATTTATSCAATTTAGAAACAGCTTAAAACAGACTAGAACAGTATGGTGCCATGGAAGCGCAGGTGTGCAGGTGTGTGAAAGTGTCCCTAGGCTATGCTCTGGATAGGAATTCAGTCAATTATTAAGTCCTGGGAATCCTACTCTCTTTCCATACCTGAAACTTTTTAATAACTTTTCCTTTTCTTTCTCCGGAAAGGGGAAAGGTCTTGGGGAAAATCCTGACAAGGCTGCTGAAATGCTATTCCTCCTAGTTTGTTGAAGTTCCAGGCACAAAAGAACACTACCTCACCTGGAAATTTCTCATCTTTGTTCCATGCAAAAGCTCCCTCARCTTTACTTCCCAAGAAGACCCACACTGAGCAGGGGGATTCATTGCACTCACAGGGGCAGTAAGTACTGAGTTGCTATCCTGGTCAAATATTATGAACTATTTCAATTTTGAAGGGAGTTGCCTGTAATTTCCAGCTGGGTCTTTAACAGAGGCATTGTTAACAACCTTTTTTTTGCTTTTTATAATGAACTGTCTTCTGAATTTCTCATCTTGAAAATGCACCTTCTTTAGTTCACTAAAGCTGTARGTTCACTTTTCTTGTGCCTCTGAAATAGGATCCTAATACCAGTAASATCATCCAAAATGCACAACAGAACTTTAGCAGAGTTTGAAGTGGTTAACCATTTTAGACTTACCCATAGAGCTCACTTTCCAAGAACATTCAGATTTCTCCTTTGGAAGCATACTGTTGTTGCCAGAAGGGAGAAGTGAACATGTTCCTCCGTTGATCTCACTTGGAGCACTTAGGTCTCAGGAGAGGGACCAGGGGCAGGAAAAGCACCTGGCAAAAGGAGTAAAAAGTTGTGGTTAAAATGCAGTACTCCCAAAATCTTTAAATAGAAAAGCTGTGTTCTTGAGCATTAGTTGACTTTAGGTTGGTATTGCTGTATTTTCACAGGAATGCAACAGAGACCCGAAGAGGAATGTCTGATCTCTACCAGTGAGGGCCAGGATGCTGAGTGTTACTGCATTCAAAGGGACAGGGAGCAGGGTTTTACTTTTTTACTTCTTTCCCTTCTCTGGATATGATCACACAGTAATTTGTTTGGTTTCTACCAGTTTTACCACTACAATCACACTTGTTACATAGCTGTACATTAGTTCTTCATCCACAGTAAAGATTTTTAGAGCTTGCTAACCACCTATCTGCATTTGGACAACATATACAATCATACACAATTCACACTAAWTCAGACAAATGGATGCTGCTGAGCCATCTTTTTTTAGGTATGTTTAGTTAGATAACCTAAGTTACAAGTACTTCCTCACAGATAAAGACATCTCAGCTTAGATGGCCACAGAGAGGGAACTGTGCATTTGAAATATCCCCACAAGACTAGAAAATACAGTGTAGGAACTGTACAAGACCTGTGCTTTTCTGCAGCAGGTTGTGGGGCCTGGCAAGATCCCTTAGGTCATCACAAATGGCACTGAAATCTAGACTTAGGCCACTGAACTGAACACTGCTGTCTTCATCTCAGTGAATATCTAAGATCCCTTAAGTCAATATGAGACCTGTTTAGATTGGAGTTCAGATCAGATGGCAAAATACAGGGATGCTAGCATTTATGAGTCTTAACTTAAAAAAAAAATATGGTATTTTTGGTCAAGTCAGAATAAGAATCACAAGACCAGACTCTGTTCCCAAATTTGCACTTGGTACTAATGTGAAGTGTCCCTTGAGATTCTTATGCTGCTTTGATAAATGCTTGCAATCAGCCCAAGTAGAAATTTGACTTGCTGTCCTTGGTATACTATATAGACATTAACTTAATATATTTATGGAAATAYGTAATTTGTTGGAGTTTAATACTATTTTTCAGCATTAGTTCTTGTCTTATTTGTATTACTCCACATTTTGGTTTATGTCATGTATATATGTAGATCATATTTTAATAACAGAAACAAACATTAATCAGAAATTTTCAGTCCTCTTCTCCAAGAGTCATGATATTTTCCCTGGTTTCTGTTTGGTATTGTTACAAATGAAATGTTTTTGCTTTGTGTATGTTTCTCATTTGTTCATTTAATTGTGTTTTTCTGYTCTACACAGACTCTCAACCTGTACTCATCATCTAAGCACCTGAATCACTCTTCAAGCATATGAGCAGTATGACRGATATAGATCAGTCAGTACTCCCATGATTCTACCTTGTCTATTTAGCTCAGCTCTCAAACTCAACCTCTTATCTGAGTCGGGASATCAGTTTAGTGGACGCTGCAGCCCAAAAGGCCCACTAACCCAGGAAATTTTGCATTGTGGCAGAAAGGTAGGTTGTGTCACACCTTTTAAACATATCCTTAAGCCTCTGAAACCTTCCCATGAGTATTGGTGACCTTATTCAGGAGTCTTGTGAGAAGGTGGTACTCTCATGGTGGAAGTTCATATGAACAAACCTCCCAGAGCTCGTGCATTCAGGAYATGCAACTGTTACAATCAAAGGATCACACTAAGGTTGATGCACACTTTACATTCTGCTCTGCATAGAAGGACAGGCTGACTGGTCCCAATGCAGGCAGCATGTACACAGGGAAAAGGAAACCTATTCCTGTATTAGACCTCAAGCCCCACAAGTTTATTGTTATTACTCTTTTACTACTGAGAATTTTCAGGGCTCTACAGAAAACATGGTATTTCAGCAATGGTTATCTGTTCCTATCCTTTGAGGAGACATGGCAAGTTTTGAAAGAATTTGCCTCAATCAGATAAAAATTATTGGTCTGAAACACAAACCACTTGTTGGTCAGTAGCAGGCACATTCTTCATGTAACACTTGGCACACTTAGTGACCATTATCCTGACAGGAGATCCCTCATCTCCAGAGAGCAGACTGTACATTCCTAGGAAGGCTGACACTAGGACATTGAAGGATAAGGAGAGACAGATAAGGAGAGACAGAGACAAGATTCTCACCTACAGAGAGGCCCTTTCAATCAACACTGAAGCCTTTATAATATCTTCACAAAGGAAGATACTTCCAGGAAACTGATTCATTCTGCCAGAAGGGTTGGTCAGACATGCTGGTGCTGTGTTGCTTCACTGATTACTCTTGTTTCCTCAATGGAGATTCAAGTGTACAGGCTCATAGCCTTTACAATTTCTTTCAGAGATAACAAAGCTCCATGGAGAAGAAGACAACATCAAAAATCACAGGATCATCAGCCAAGAGGAGGAGAACTGCCAGTCCTGTGACAACCACAGTAACTTCTCTGAGAAATAAGGCACAGTATCTGATACTTCCATTTACCTGCAGCTTCCTCTTACACAAGCAGCCCCTTCTTAGCAAGAGATGCCCTAAACAGCCATCAAGCCATGAGCTATAAATTTATATTACAGAACTGGTGGCATTCCTTCCTACTTGAATGCATACTTGTGATTGTCATGCTCACATCTACAACAAGGAGCAATTCTTTATCATTTGAAATAAGATAAGCAATTAGCTTRAATATCTTTGAATATTTGATATTTTGTATGGAGTCAGGCAGAGAACATTCAAAATATAAGCATTTGCATTATATGTATCAGTTATTGCTTTTTCTCTTTTATGCAAGAAGTAAATAACTAATTGTAGCTATTTGTAAATAGTTTAATTTTCCTTTATCTCAGTTCTTTCAAAACTATAATGCCTCTATATTAGAAGATTGGATCCCTAGGATTTTAAATTTAAGTACAGTGACGACAATGCAACTCTTTGAGTTTTTCTCCAGCCCACACAAATTCTCAAACCTAATGCTTCAAGAGCTACTTCTTTTGGCAACACTGAAGCTTTTCAGTTTATTAGCCTTCTTATTCCCAGGATCTCAGAGAAGTGATTTTAGCAAATTAACTCCCATAAGCACCCATAAAAAATTTGATTTACAATCTTGATTAAAGTTTTAAATGATGATTGGATCGCTTTCTTTACTTCCACTGTCAATAATTTTATTTTGTTAGGARTTTAAGAGACTATTAACAGAATCTTTCCTTAGCAGTTTGTTTGACAAGATTTTGCTATTATACAAAAATATGACCTTAGAGATCCCTATTTGATTTCTCAATTAAAAAAAAATAAATAAATAAAAAATAAAAATAAAAAAAAAACCCAAACATCTCCAATGGATTCATTTCTGTTAACTTGGTACCCAAAACTCCCTGTCTGACCAGGTGTGCTTACCTACCTAACAGTCCATACTCCCATATGAATAGAAGGGAGAGAGAGACAGGCARCTGCACAAGACAGTTTGTCACACCCTTGAAAAGGTGGGATGATCTGCCTTCCAGTRGTACCTGATACTGTCTGCTAWAAAGCCAATTCAATAAATTGAACTGGAGCACATGCTTAGTGTGCTTCAATAATRTGCTCAGATGACTCTGGTCAAGTAAGAGGAACATAGCCCCAACGAAACTGGGGCTTTGTGATTTGAGTAAGAAAGACAATTAAGTGAAAGGTAACTGTTTTATAATTCTTCCAAACCCAGAAAGATAGCAAAGAGCAAATGCAGGATCAGATTTCACTATCACCACTCACATTTAATAGTGCTTCCTAGTTAAGTAAGTTGTTACTGGCTACCAATCCAAATGTGCCTAAAGAAATTTAGCAAATCAGGCAGTCTGAGAGTAAACATAAATTATTGACATATTCTGTATTTGGATGATTAAAGGGAGAGACTAAGTTGTTTATTCAAGGACCAAATTTAGACTCTTTGTCAATAAGAGTAGGCTACGTAGCATATCTGATGATCTGGACACAAGTCCCAAGTCTCCCTTGGTGTGTATAGTGCTATATATCTGCTCAATTACAAGCCTGAAGAAGTGATTCAGCTAGTTCAGATAATTAAATTTTAAATCAAATGTTCACAYGAATTTTTAACTTGCCATGAAAACCCATGTTTCATAAATCATTTRCAATAACACATGAAGGCATTCTATGCCATCTTCAACCAATTTGTCCCTCAGACCAACAAAAATCCTTTCAGAACTTTTGATAAGCTAATATATGCCTTTTTTTAATATGCCTCTTTATAGATCCTGGAGAGCTGGCTCTGCTCTGTAAGAAACATTGACATAGGCTTACCAGCAAAGAAGGAAGGGAATGTGCTACATACATCTTAGAAAGGACTAGCTCAAAATCTCAAAAAAAGAAAATATAACATCCATAAAGGCTAGATAGAGGAAGTTGTTTTCCTTGGCCATAAGAAGGATACTGCTTCCTGACCTAAGGAACAGTCTTTGGTTCAATTATCATTGATGCGGCAAGTTTGGTCTCTTCTTTTGTTGGAATATTCTTTTGTATCACTTTTGGAAGAAAGGACAGGCAACTTGGAAGGACTTCAAGGATATTGTGATGTTATGCAGRGAGAAAAATAGAAGGGCCAAAGCTCAGCTAGAATTTTGTCTCTGCAGTAGAAGACAACAAAAAATGTTTCTATGAATCAGCAACACAAGGAGGGCTAAGGACACTCTCCAGCCTTTACTGTATGCAGAGGGAAACAGTGACAAAGTATGAGAAAATGGCTGCTGTAGATAATGTCTTCTTTGCTTCAGTARAACCAGTTGTCTTTGGGGTACCCAGCCCTCAGAACTGGAGACARGGACAGGAAGCACAAGGAAGTCCCCATAATCCAAAGGGAAATGGTCAACAACTTGCTATACTACTTAGAYCCACATAGGTTCATGGGGACAGATAGGATTTACCCAAAGGATCTGAGGGAGCTGGTGGAAGTGCTCATTGAGCCACTTTCCATAATTAAGCAGCAGTCCTTGCTAACTGAGGGTTGCTCCAGTGGAGGTCTAGTTTGGGTATTAGGAAAAAATTCCTCAATGAAAGAGTGATCAAGTATTAAAACAGGCTGCCCAGAGAAGTGATGGAATCACCATCCCTGGAAATGTCAAAAAGATGTGTGGATGTGGCACTTAGGGGTATGATTTAATGGTAAATACAATAATGCTGAATTAATGGTTAGACTAAGTCATAGAGGTCTTTTCTGATCTTAGTGATTATGTGGTTGTATAAAAGAAAAGAACAGCAACATGTTGAAATACCACATTCTTTGGTCATTAGTGCTCAAAGCAGTTTAGTCAGAAAGATGTCCCCTTACAAAGCAATCTACAGATATATGACAGCTACATTCACTAAGCATGAAACATCAGTGAYAGAAAGAAGAAACAAAAGAATGTGAGATGTCTCATCTTCTAGGGAGTTTTCAGCAAAATCTTTAAATAGAGAAGCAACTTCTGTTGTAGCTGCAAATAAAAATCCCTATTTTTAATATCTGATAGAACAGCTTTCTTATAGCTTCCCCTTCCTTTGGTGGCTTCTTAGGAACAACCTCTTGTTCCACTGCCTCAGGCTGCTTTTTTCAACTGTTTCTTTCTATTACAAATGTGTAAGGCTGCATTTCCAGGAATGGCCATAACTCTTGGGATCCATAGCCTTGCCTGCCTGTTGAGTCTGTAAGCCCTTAATGGCTCTGACATCAGTATCTAAACTTTCTGTTCACCATCTTGAGCAGAACTGCAATTCACAGGGCTTAATTTACTTACCAAGGATATCTACATTCATAGGTAGCCCACATTCAGCATTTGAGCTAGCTCACTTAAACTCTAGTCTAAGAAACTTTGCACTGAACTTCAGGGAGTGTCTGAACATATGCACAARCTCTCTGTGTCAGACAGAGTATTGAAATACAGCTTTATTGAAAGCCTGAATATAAGGCTAATTTTTTAAAATAATAGTATTAGACTTTTCCAGAAAATTCTCTGTAGATAAAGAGCCAAATACTTCAGATTTGGAAATCTAATTCCTAGGAAAACYAGAATTTCTTTTCCTAAAACCACAAACCCCATTTATTCACATTTTCTAGAAGCCAGCTGAGGACAAGACCCATGTGCTATCGTCTACGAATGCCATCCTTATGTGGTTAAATCTCACTCCTTGGATGAGATTTGGCAAATAAGAAACTCTTAGTGCCATGAGACAGATAAATGCCTGAAAGAGCAGAGCTTTCAGTGATGAGCACTGTATCTGTCACAATGAAGAAATCCATCTGCATTCTTAGCCAAAGTCCCTTCTTTGCTAAGGGACATTGCCTTCTGTCTTCACACTGTTCTCTGCCAGAGTATTGGTCAAATCTTCTGTCTTGCCTCCTACCAAAGCTGCTTCTTAAAGCTCACATTAGCATCTTAGTGAAAAATTAATAATTTTATAATTGATATTCAGCAATTACAGTTCTACATTTCAGTTAAATTTKATTATTTCCATAAAATTATCTGAAAGACTTAACAAGGCTTAAATATTTTAAATAAAATCAGAGCCATTAATAATAGAAATTATGCATCCAATTTCAATGAAAAATCATCTGGAAGTRTATCTGAGTCACTCTCCATGATGTTATCAAAGTCCATAACAGCCTCACTGGGACTGTCCAGGGAATAAGAAATACTAATTATATTGTCTGGCTCTGACTGGCCTCATAGTATTTTAMAAAAATAAAATGCAATTTTATGTAGCCCACTTAAATCTAACAAAATAGAGCCTCATGAACAGAAGTTTAGAAAAATCCCAATGTGAGCTTTGCTATTTGAAAAACCTTGGAGACTAATTCAAAGAATAATCTTTTAAGAATATGTGTTTGATTATTTTTTCAACCTCTTCTAATTGATTTCACATGCAGGGAGGTAACAGAATTGTAACAACTGTGATGAAGATTTCCTGAACAGAAACTGACRTTCCTGACAAATTGATTTTTTTTCTTCTCAGTAACCAACAGATTTGAACATAAATATGTAATTCACTGCGGAAGACATAAAAGTCCTTAGACCTTTTTCTGGCACTAGTCTGGAAATGATGGGCTTTTGGTATTTATTTTTCCTTAAACAAAAGAAGAAATCCTATCTTGCACATCATCTGCCATTCAAGCCAAAATGTTATTTGCCCAGTCTCAACTAAAGCAGACAAAATTCCTAATATGACTAATTTTCCTTGATAGCCTTCCTGCTGCACACACAGCATTTTCCACAGGAGAGAAGCAGCGAGGAAGTTTTTAATTGCAGTATGCCATGGTTTGCATGTCAACAATGAGTGGGACAGCTTTTGTTTGAGCCCCAAAAACTTCTCAGTAATTACTAATTTGTGAAGCAGCTGTTTCTCARTCTGAGGAAAAGGTCTCAACAGGTTATACTCAAAAAGTCCTCTGGAACTGAGACAGACTAAAAAGGTAAAAAAGGTTATAGAAGCAGGAGATWATGAGGAACCTGTAGCTAACTCATGGAAAAAATAAACTTTACAGGGAAATACATTTCAATTTCTATACCACACCTCATATATGTTCTGTTTCTGGGAGAAGAGGATCTGCTGGAGTCCTGCTAGTGAYGGAGACCACACAGCCACTTCTAAAGAGACAATAAAGGACCAAATTTACATATTATATTCAATTATCACATGAAAATAAGAAATCTTCTTTTGCAGGAAAAAAGAAATATGTCAGTTTGCTGTGATCTGCATCATAAAGTTCTTGACAGTATTCCAAATGTTTTTTAYAATATTTCATCCAATCCTCTGTGCAATATTTTAATTTTAAGAATTCTTAGGGTTCTCCCTCATTGGGGATTGTCTGGGATTTACTAAAGGTTTCATATTACAGTTTTTTATAGCATACCCTAGAAATTTATTGAAAGTCCTGAAAGCAGTGCACAAGCTAAGCAGCAAGGCAAATGCATAACATTTACATTCTCCAGAGCCTCACTGCTCATCTAGTACTTTCTCTAGTCTCCAGGAAATGCAAGCAAATCAATGACAATTGTGTCTGAATGCTATCTAATGCCATTAAATATCAGTGGGTAAATRAGAAGGTCTCTCACACAACCTCCACACAGAAGCCTACTTGGCTTTCTCAGACAACATATTGTGCTTAAAAAGAACAAACACATTTATTCTAAAATATTTTAATTACTAAAAAAACTCCACCTTCCATTCTCATCCACAACCAATACAACCAGAAAACCATTTCCCTCATTTGCTCTAGAATTCTTGTCTCCTTAAAAATTGTTTACTTTTTACCTGCCTACAGGGTTGCCAGGATAGCTTCAGTAGTTTAGAATGTAGGACAGATGTGCATAGTAACACACAAGCTCAGATATGTCACAGAGTCACTTGGACTTCATGGCTTATTTCCCAGCACACTGACTGGGGCCACAGTGCTGCCTCAGGCCTGTTCCAAGCATTAACTCATCACTAAGTGCCCAGAAAGGAATTGTCATCTCCTTTCCCTTCAATGAAACTTTGTTCTGGTCCCTCTTTGAGCTTCAGGTTTGTCACTATTGAATGCTGTGTTGGRAGGTCTACAAGGGCCAACCCTGAACTCCAGCTAACACTCCAAGGTGGAGCCTGGCTGAGCTTATTCAGAAATCTGTGTGTCTGTCCTGCACCTCCTAGTATGCCTGACCTCGAGAAGATGTTTGACCAGCAAGAAGCCAGCCAGCACCCAGCTGGGCCCACAGTTCAGGTTCTGCTCCAGCTCAGAGCATCTGTATACTCCAGATGAGCTGTCCCTCAAAGCAGGACAGCTCTGCTCCTGTGACTGTCATCTCCCCTGCACAGACACACTGCAATCCAAACCAGCAGTGAAGAACAGAGACAACTGTAACACAGCATTTCATCTCAGCTCCCAATTGTCACATGTTTCTGACACATAGATCCCTAAAAAGAACTAGCCTCAGGCTACATTATGGGATTTAGGTCCCATTTGTGCTTGTGTCTGTACTCTCTACACAGAAATAGTAGACTCATGGCTTTTCTCAAATATGTGTATGACACAAAATGTTTCCTCCCACAGATTCAAGAGCAACTTCCCAGTCAAAGTGAGAGGATACATAMATAGAAATTAAATACTGAATTGGGCTTCAGAACACCTTAATTGAAGGAGTGGGCAGGAGGCAAAAGATTCCTTCCTGCTGCTTCTCCAAGATGTCACACTCCACTCCTGATTAATGTACTGCAGTCCTACAGTATGGGCACAAGGCCACATCTAATCATCAGAGGAAAATACGATATTCCAACATCAAAATATGTATTTTGCTGATTTCTGTATTTGAGAGAATTAAGGATCTGTAGAATTAGGTTTTGAAAGCCTAGATTTATGTTTTGCTCCTCTTCAACCATCCTGAATTCATAACTACCAACWCTGGAGAAATAACTATCAGCTTTATAGGACTAAAAAGTGAATTTCAGAGTCATGAACTTAGCTCTGTAACTATTGAATGATAGTCACTGTTCAACTGAAGCCACTCATGTGCATGAAAATTTTCATRTATTTTGTACAATCCAATTTTTGAGGCATCCTAGTGAATAAGCATCTCCTGTAAAAATCCTTTTAAGCAGCTGTGTGAATGGATGTTAGTATGACTGGAAGACAATTCCTCCATGAATTATCTTCAGCCTTCTGCAAAAGAGAAATGCTATTACAAGAAGAAAGTGAAAATGAGTAATTAGACCTAGAGCTGCAGGTGATATGTACTGAGAAACATCTGGATATCTTTCTAGAGGGTGCATCATGATCACTGCTACCTTCCTGGGGAAAAGGTGATTCTTGCAAAATAACTATAACTAGAATAATCTTAGMGTTACTGTTTCTTACATTACCGTGACTCTCCCACATGAGTTTTGAAAATATCCAGTATTCAACTCAGTTATAGAAATTTCCCTTTAGATGGCAATCTTTAAGAGATTTCAAGGGAAGAGAGGGTTTTTAAAGTCTTTGCTTACAGACATGAAACACATTTCACCACAGAGTCAGTCCTTTCTTAGCTGTGTTACTTAATTTCAGTGCTCAATGCTGTTATTATCAACTAAATTGTGTATTGTATCTATTGCAATAAAACCAAAGAGATTCTTSTGGAATAGAGATACTTAAGCACATCAAAATTATCTCATGCCTTTGCTCTCATTATACCAACATGGCTCCCTTAGGCCCTCAAGTAATGAGAAGAAATAAGGATTAATGTCTGATATTCCTGTGAATTAATCCTGCTAATATAGCACCTGTATCTCTATCCCACTGTAAACATGAGAGAATTGCACTGAGAAGTGGGAGATTTATGTATGTGTATATATATGTGTGTGTGTGTGTGTGTGATTGACTGGCATTTGCCTTTCTCGTACCTAATACAATTTACACAAATACATTTTGTGCCATAGACAAATAAGTGTTGCTGATTCTGACCTGCTGCCCAGAGTTCTATGACAAAAAAAATTGTCAAAAAGGTTATCCATTGCACACCAGCTTTGATATACTGCAGCTGACAGCACATTGATTGTCTTCAGCATCTCTACTCTAATTAGTCACTTATTTTTGTCTATTTACGTAAGGATCTTTAATAATTATAAACCCTTGAAACCCTCACGGCTTCTCTATTTTTATTTTTTATACATTAAAATGTTGGTGRTATCCCTAAATACAAAAACCAAGTACTCAGAGTAAAGTACAATTTTTGCAGACAGCCTAAAGAACGAGTTCATTTTCAACAGAGTTCCAAGGAGACTTCAGAGAAACGTAATGAACAGAATACTTCCAAACACTGCAACCATTAGCAGAAAATTCTAATATTAATCAAGGGATTGCTCATTCCTCTTGTAGTTCCTTGTCTGTCATAAAACCAGTGGTTTCATAATCAGGCTGGAATTTGGGGATCAGGACTTTCCCTAGACCGTATACTTCTCAAGCTTACAAGACTTCTCTACCAGCTTACATYTGGATCAAAGTACTCTCAGGTTGTACAAATCTCACACTGGGGTCAGCAGTATTTCTAAATGTGTCTTGATTAACAAAACTGGAAAATGTATCAAATTTAAATAAGAATTGTAATTTTTTTTTGCTTGGAAGTTTGGCATTATCTGGCAAAAGCAAATTGTATCCTCAGTGCACATGTCCAGCACTGTGCATGAGGCAAAATGAGAAGCTTTCTCTTAAATTTTCTACTTGCACTTTSAGAAGAATAAATTCTTTTACCTGGATAAATACAAGACTTAATACAAGACTGAAGATCAGCAGGAGAAATGTCTTTAAATATATTAATATGACAAAAAATTATTCAGTATTTTTATTTCTACCTAAAACTATAACCATCATAACATACTAGCAGGTCATTATATATTATCTACCATTTCCTTGTTTAATATGCAATTTTTATGKTAGGTGGATGTAAAAAAATAAGCAGTGATAATATTATTTCATACTAGTCAAGGAAGCCTTGATTCACTGATTAAAGCATTGTAGCCAATGATATTTATTTTCTTTATTTTCTTCTGAAAGAAAATAACTCTTTACATTAATTTAAATATATTGGATAATACTTCAACAAAAGTATGTCAAGTGGAAATTTAAATCCAGACAAGTCAGAAAAGTAAAATTTAGCAGATCATAATGAATAACCCCTTCCACAAGGATTCAGTACTGTTCTGTGGGCAATTTCATCTTATTAAAACTTATCTTTCTCATTGAAAAACTACTTTCATACCCCATAGTAYGTGACTCAGGTATTACTAACAAAATTGCTTCAGATATTCAAGTTTCTATAGATTTTTTAATTATTTCATATAGGTTTTAATTAGAAATTTACATGCTAACAAGAAAAATCCAATTTCTTCTT